TCGCTCCCTTCAAGCGCAACTTTCCGCAAGCTATTTGCACGCTTTCTTCTCCGTCCAGCATGCTGTCTCGCTCCCTCCCACCGAAGTTTCCCCAAGCTATTTCCACGGGTTTGTCCCGTCCAGCATGCTGTCGCGCTTCCTCCCAGCACAGCTTTCCGTCCAGCATGCTGTCTCGCTCCCATCCAGCGCAGTTTCCCCAAGCTATTTTCCACGGTTTTGTCCCGTCCAGCATGCTGTCTTGCTCCCTCCCCGCGCAGTTTCCCGAAGCTATTTCCACGGTTTTGTCCCGTCCAGCATCCGGTCTCGCTCCCTCCCAGCGAAGTTTCCCCAAGCTATTTCCACGGCTTCATCCCGTCGAGCATCCGGTCTCGCTCCCTCCCAGCGCAGGTTTCCCAAGCTATTTCCACGGCTTCATCCCGTCGAGCATCCGGTCTCGCTCCCTCCCAGCGCAGTTTTCCCAAGCTATTTCCACGGCTTCATCCCGTCGAGCATCCGGTCTCGCTCCGTCCCAGCGAAGTTTCCCCAAGCTATTTCCCCAAGCTATTTCCACGGCTTCATCCCGTCGAGCATCCGGTCTCGCTCCCTCCCAGCGAAGTTTCCCCAAGCTATTTCCACGGCTTCATCCCGTCCAGCATCCGGTCTCGCTCCTTCCCAGCGAAGTTTCCCCAAGCTATTTCCACGGCTTCATCCCGTCCAGCATCCGGTCTCGTTCCCTCCCAGCGAAATTTCCCCAAGCTATTTCCACGGCTTCATCCCGCCGAGCATCCGGTCTCGCTCCATCCCAGCGAAGTTTCCCCAAGCTATTTCCACGGCTTCATCCCGTCCAGCATCCGGTCTCGCTCCTTCCCAGTGCAGTTTCCCCAAGCTATTTGCACGGCTTCATCCCGTCCAGCATCCGGTCTCGCTCCCTCCCAGCGAAGTTTCCCCAAGCTATTTCCCCAAGCTATTTCCACGCCTTCATCCATCCCGTCGAGCATCCGGTCTCGCTCCCTCCCAGCGCAGTTTCCCCAAGCTAT